CTGTGTACTTCTCTCTCCAGGAGCACCCTAGTTGGGTGATGTGTGTTTTGCCAAATGATGTGAGTTCATTCCGCTCCTGGTGGTTCCAAAAGGGCCATTTAATTCTTAAACACTTTGGCTTGCTTGGCACAGTGCTGAATGACGCGGGGCATATAACTTGACATGCCTTTTTATGTAGGTAGGTGTCCCAGGTCATTATTCCTTGTGCGCTTTGCACAAATCAACGTGTCCTACACATGTGTCATGAACGGCCGTTCAAGCCATCAGCACAGTTGTGACAGCTGAGGCATGCACAAGCCGCCATCACTACCAGGAGCGGCTGGGAAGTGCTGCGATGTGGGGCTTCTTTCTTCGACAGTCTGTCCCAAGATGTCCCAAGTGAATAGTGCTGGACTGCGGAAAGCTGAGTTCCAGGGCTCTCAGAGGTAAATGGAGATGACAGGCAGCCGCCCAGGCAGCCGTCCTGGCAGCCGCCCAGGCAGCCGTCCAGGTACTGCAGGCAGCGGCAGCCCATGCCACTTGAAGTCGGATGAAGTACAGGGCTGGCGCTGCCTGGGGGGAGGGGGGGATTGAGAAGACCAGACAGTGGGTTTAAAGGCTTCAATGGGGGGGTAGGTCAGCCTTCAGCTCGAAACAGTAGAAGCCACGGCGATGCACGGAAGAGATCAACTCCCATCCAAGCCCGAACAAAACCTGAATCTCCTCCACGCCGATTCTTCATACCCTGTGCAGGGCGGCCCCAGTCAGTTCAGGCTCGGGGGCTTGGGCAGCCGGATCGTGAAGAACTGTTGCATTGCCAACACGGTTGGGACTTCACGCACGAGCATGGGTGAGCATGGACTGCCGGCAAGGCCTGGGCACGTCCTGGCTCAGCACGCTCCGTGGGACGGCCCGCTTCAGCACAGCAGGGCCTCAAGGCGCGAGAGAAGGCTAGGGAGGATTTCGGAGTGCCGGCATGATGTTGAGGACTCGCGGGCGCTCTTCCTGCAACGTTGGTTTGCCATTGTTGGAGATGCTGTCTCTGAATATGTATACCTTGAGTTCTTGCGGACTAGGAAAAGAGACACTGAACGACTCATCCTTTCCAAAGCACTTGACTGTGAAACCATGGTGAGACCCATAGTCTTGTGCTGAAGCCCGGCTCGGGGCATTTGCAATTCTGTGACTGTCCCACGGGGTCTTGCGCTGTCTGAATCCAAACTTACAATCCATACTGAGCAACAGCTTTCCTCCAAGGTTAAAACGAAAACCATTCCGAGGTCAGCCCCAACCAAGTCAAAGGCTTCCTCGCGAAGGGGAGCTTCCAGACACTTATTAGGGCCAGTGGATGTTGGGTCGGAACACCAGTGCCGTCACCTTTCACGTACCAAAACTCGAATAAAGCGTGACAACCCTCGCAAGACAGGATGTAGAGGCAAACGGTAGCTTTGTAGGCCGATTCATCGTTCCGGCAGGCGAAGAGACCAGCGCGACTATGCAGCAAGTCGGGCGCCGGAGTTGGATCGCGGGCCTCTTCAGTCCCTTCCACTAGGTTGTTGGCCGGTTGTGCCTCTGGAACCAGGGCCCGACAGCACAGGCAACTAGTTTGGTTTGGCAGTTTGCGGCCCTGCACTCTGCAATGTTGGTCGCGGTGGACCACATGAGAACCGATTGCGAGCGAGCACGGGAGTCGAAACCCTTACTCGAAACCCTCCTGAGACCTCCAGCGTTCGCCTTCCAAGCCCAGGAAGGAGAAGATGCCCCAGAGGCCACCAAACCTCCCGGCCCAGATTGAGATTGCGAATTTCTGATGCTGCGGGGTGCTTGGTTTAGTGAAGGGTAGTGTGATGTGAACCTCCCGATCACGCACTGAAGTAAAGGATTCGTGTCAGTGATGAAAGCATCAAGAGCCGTGGAAGCTGGTTGGGGGGTTGAGAGACAGCACCGTTGGACTCGTACTTTTCAGAGGGCTGCAGCATGCTGCAGCCCGTGGGCTGTCCGAATTGGCCACCCACTTCAGCGTTTTCAACTCGTAGAAACTGGCAGAGAAAGGGCATTCGGGGCACGTTCCCCCCATGGCTTTCCAGAGGGTCTGAGGCTCTGCCAAAAACCCACCTTGCAAAGTGCAAGTCGTGCTAGGACCTGCTAGCAAGCAAGCAATCCAAGTGCATGAGCAAATCAGAGTTGGCATGCCTCCACACGTAAGAGTCAAGGTTGCCGCATCGAAGGATGCCGCGACACAGTATCACCGTTGAGCCAGAGACCCTGGTACTGAAACCGATGTGGCAAGACGCATGCCCCACCCGCACCCGGCGAATGAATTGTGCCTGACCTATTCGACTGTATCAAGCGTCCAACGAGGAGCTGGGTCTCTTGCTTTTGCAAAGTTTTCCAGCCAGTGAGTGTCCTGGTCCGGAAGTCGAAGGCATGTCGCACGACGTGGGATCGGGCGCCTCCCCAATCGTGCTACTAGTAGAGAGGAACAGTACTCTTGTGGGGGTTCCGCCCATTCCCAACGAAGCTTGCAGCACTCGATTCTGATTTGGAGAGTGGATGTTTGCAAGTGGCTTTTTCAGGCATTTCTGCAAGATGTTTTGGCCTATACTGTAGATTCGTTGTTAGTTGCGGCTGCTCTGGCCTCAAATGCTAGAGAGGCACCTATGGTCAGGTGCCCTTCGGGGCCGTGGAATCGGTAGGCTAGTGGCTGACAAGCGTCAATTGGCCCTGCAAACATCCCTGAAGAGATAGGTCCTGAGGCAGCGCAGGAACGTATGCTGGGCCCTCTTTTCGGATGCACCATGCGTTGCAGGAATCAAGAGCGTGCAAAATGAGCTGCATCTTCATCTCGACTTACGCCAGGATCACCTCTTGTCATCAATCTGCGAGAGAGCGTTGCGGTCAGATGAGCTAGGTAGACTGCATAAAAGACGGGCTTGTCATGAGAGGACTTGGGGTTCATAGCCGTGCTTTCGCCACGTTCACTGCATACAGGCATGCCAGCGCCGGCTGTCTCGCCCATTGCCACCCTGGAGCAGGACATCAGGGCTACAAGACCCAAGCCTCAATGCGGCCTGCTCTGAAAGCGGTGTGGTCGTGCCCGAGCATGCATTCTGTCAAAGAGATGCTCCTGGAGCTTCCACCTGCGGAAATCTATCTTTTGGACGTGAGAGCTTGTTTTTGATGCGAAAACCTCAGTGGAGCTTTGAGCTCTTAAACCAGGCTGCTCAACCTAAATTCTCTTTGCTGACTCACCGTTTGCAGAAGGAGTTTCTCAGCTTGCTTCATCTATCCTCCTTCCCCCTGCCCATGTTCCTTCTCCTTTCTGTTCCCCCTCGTTCTGCTCCTTGCCTTCCTCGCTGTGCTATGAGTGAGTGCCGAGTGGCAGCTGCTCAACTTTTACCTGGTCAAGCAAGTTGTTGCACAATTGCATGTTGCATTTAACAAAGAATGGCCAACAGTCCCAAGACTGGGTTTGTTCTCAGCTGTTGATCGAGCACATACTGTAGGCTCTTTCGGCATGCTGTCCAGCAGTGAAATGTCTCTGGCCTGAATTCCACCTCGTACCTTTGTCGGGTGCAAAGATGAGACTCTCGAGGACGGCCCGCGGCCGAGGAATTAAACCATTGGAGCCTTTTGGAATCTTGCAAAACCAAGTCATCTGCAGACTGCTTCATGCATTCAGAAAGATTCAGGGCGGAAGCGGACAGCATTTGCGCGACAGAAGGGTGCTGGTGCCGAGGAGCTCGTCCAAAGTCGTCGCCAGCTCCACGCCTTGCAGCTACAGCGCGAGGCTCGCGTGCCTTCCCCAAGCACCTTTGGAGCCTTAGGCCCTCGTCAAAATCACGTGGGAAGCCCTGCCAAATGAGCTTCTTTCAGTTCAGGCTGAGCAACGGGCCGCCGAGGCCCGGCATGCAGAGCTCCTGGCCGAGCTCGAGGCGCCTGGAAAGCCGAAAGCCCGTGCTTGAAGGTTTCTGGTGGAGGGAAACGCTGTGTATCTTTTTGGCAGAGCGCGGGGGGGGGTATGGGTTGCAGCGTTCTTGTGAGGGAGTTGGAGGGGTTGGGCGGATCTCAAAGCGTCCTACCCTTCAGGCCCATCAGCAGGAGCACACCCTGAACAGCGCACGGCGCACGACGCATCACGAAGCCGCGTTGTCAACACGGTGCACTCCAAACTGCATCAGGAGCTTCGGCCCCTGCGGGCTCTCCATGCCAAAGTCAAAGTCAGCCACGAGGAGGAGCCCGGACACAACATGGCCTTAAGAAGGATGCAGTCATTGCCACTTCTGCATGAGCTCACGCCTGTCGCAGAGCACTTAACATACAAATCATCTGGTTCAAGATAGTTATCTTAGCTGCATGCACACAGAAAACACATCAACAAATACTGGAATGTGATTATACACTGCTTGTCCGACAACGTTTGTTGTTTTGATTGCTTTGGCTGCGGGCTGACTAACTAGCTTGGCTTCTGTTGGGAACCTTGGTATATACTTGTGGGACTGAGCTAAGTGCAGTCGAGGCTGTTGGAGCTGCCAATTTGAAGATGGGCCCAGCAAAAACTGAGGCGTTGGCTGGGGCCTCTCTGTGCAACAACACATTGGTTCTCGTATTGCCGACAACCTGTCATAGAAAAAGCTGTCAATGTACAAGAAACGATCATCTGCCTTATCGGCAGATGAAGCAAACCTCTTGCACGATGTCGTTACGCTTGGGGTTCATCGTGGCCAAGTGTGAAGGCCTTGTGCCTTGGTGCTGAGCAGGGTGCACCAGCCACAAGCTCTCACTACTGGGCTCAACGAAGAGGGTCAAAAGCAATGTGCTGAAATCGATCGACATGCCTCTCTCGCTTTGAGCTGTAACTTTGTGGTAGCCAAAACTTGTTTGAGCAGCTTGAGCAGGAGGAGAGCGAGAGCGCGACAGAGAGAGAGAGAGAGAGAGGCCATTTTGGCTCAAGCTGCCTGGCTCAAACGTCCTCAACCAAGTTGGCACTGCCCCTGTCTGGCCTTGCCCCCGTGCATCAAATGTCGTACTGCCAGCAGATCGAGGGTGTGCAGCTGGACATGGCCGTTGTCGATGCTTGCGCTGCTGCTGTTCAGGGCAAAGGCAATGGACGTGTTTCCAGTGAGGACGCGCACCAGGTCTTCAAGTACATCAAAGATGACAATAAGGTGACAAGCAACGACGAGCTGTGGGCTCTGCGATACTGTTTGACAGAGTTCAACTTCACGGAGGCTGCCGGGGACTGGATCACTTCAGCAGTTGGGGCCATCAGCAAGCGGGATCAGGTCAAGGCCCCCCAGGGTGGCTCTTCGAAGAGCTGCTACGAGCAGGTCGATGGCGTGGAGTGTGATCGCGAGCTCTTGGAGGTTTGCAAAGCGGTAGCCGGCACTGGTGATGGACGTTTGTCCAAGGACGATGCCGAGAAGCTGCCAAAAGATGTTGGTCCCAAGGTCATGGACACACAGAAGTGGAGCGTCCGGCTTTGCCTGTCAGACTTTTTTTGGACGGAAACCGCTCACGACTTCATCGTCGAAGAGCTGAAGGCGTCGCCAAGGAAGCGGCCGGCGGAGGCCACCGTCGGAAGAGGTTTTGGACGATGAGCAGAAGGCGAACTTGGGGCGCAGACGCAGCAGTGTGGACCGGGAAGCCCTTGCCCTCGCGGCTCAGGCCGCCCAAGCCGCCCAGGCAGAGTCCACGGCTGTGGAGGCTGTGGAGGACCTGTTTGCACCTCCGTCGCCAGTCCGTCGCCTGCGTCAAACGGCTCATCATCCCCATCAGTCCACCTATACCGGACACCGTTTTCCCGCGGAGAGGAGGGAGAGAGAGAGAGAGAGAGAGAGAGAGAGAGAGAGAAGAAAGAGAAGGCAGACAGAGACCCTCAGACTTCACCTGGAAGTGTCACATGAACGCTGAGCTGAGACCATGCGGGAAAAGTGCTCCTGCGCCTATCTTGGCAATGCTTGTGCACGGCATGCCGATTTGCGGCATGCGTGTTCTTGGCGTTTCTTCCCACAGCAACGCTGTGCGATTTCCATTTTTCATTGGAAGATTCTGGTGGGCTTTGGCTGCGGAAGCGCCATTTGGTCCCCACAAGGTGCACTGCCCTCCTTACCCTCCTGCCTCATGCATTCAGAAAGATTCAGAGCGGAAGCAGACAGCATGTGCGCGACAGAAGGGTGCTAGTGCCGAGGAGCTCGTCCAAAGTCGTCGCCAGCTCCATGCCTTGCAGCTACAGCGCGAGGCTCGCGCTGTAGCACGTGGGAAGCCCTGCCAAATGAGCTTCTTGCATTTCCTCAGGCTGAGCAACGGGCCGCCGAGGCCCGGCATGCAGAGCTCCTGGCCGAGCTCGAGGCGGTGAACGCTGCGTGTCTTTTTGGTAGACTCTGGTAGAACGCGGGGGGGGAAGGGGTTTCAGCGTTCTTGTGAGGGGGTTGGAGGGGTGGGGCGGAGGGGTTGGGCGGATTTCAAGCCCATCAGCAGGAGCACACCCTGAACAGCGCACGGCGCACGACGCATCACGAAGCCACGTTGTCAACACGGTGCACTCCAAACTGCAGGAGCTTCGGCCCCTACGGGCTCTCCATGCCAAAGTCAAAGTCAGCCACGAGGAGGAGCCCGGAAACGCTAAGTTTTGTAGGCGCAGTACTGTAAGCCTTAGGCAGACAAGAAGCTGCAGGATCTTGCTCAGCGAGCTCCCACTTCGCCGACCAATTCAGCAGGCCAATCCCACTCTTCTCTACAGAACGGTTGAACTTGGGCAATGGGAGTTCATCTCAGAAAAAAATCGAAAACATTGCTTCGCGGCTCCGAGCACAAGGCTTCAGAGTCTGGTCAGGCTTCAGGTTGCGGATACAGCGGGATCACAAGTTCGGGGGGTTTGAGGGTGGCGGAAGGCTGAGAGAATTGTGTTTATTTGGAGTTTGGGGCCCCAAAGATCACCAGACTTTGCACAAACCAACAACAAAGCTTGAGGGTTAAAGGTTCCGACATGTCAAACCTCCCAACATCAGCTCGTCCATCGCATGCTGAAAGGCTCCATGACCCGCGCGGAGGTGGACGAGCTGGTTCGGGCAAGGCTCGAACCCGGTGGGATGCAGTCGAAAATTTTTGAAATCGATTGAAATCGAGTTTTTTTCGTGCTGCCGCTGTGGCAACCACTTCTTGGAGGCTGGGGAAGGGGGGGGTTCGTCTGCTGTATTAGGCAGCTCAGAGAGCTGGTGAGCTCAGCAAGGGACGTGTTGAAAGTGCTGACGTGTTTCGGAGAAGTTTCGCAAAAAAGGTTGGAAAAAAGGTATGAAAAGGTTGAGGAGGCGATGATGTGAGCAAAGGCGCTGCTGCACTCGCACTTGTAGCATCGTCATGTGCGCAGATTGTGGTTGTTGACCTGCCTGCGAAGCCTCAGGCTCGAAGCCAGAAACTCATAGATGCGACCCGCAGGTTTGCATCGGCTAGTTGGACTGTTAGACAATAAGTTCCAGCCAAGTACACGAGTTGTGACATCTGCTAACACGCGGCACCTGGGCATGTCACTCCACCACACCAAGTAACAATACCCGACAGCTGAACCGTTGTGCACGCAGTAGCACCATGTCGCAGATGTGGGTCCCTTTCATCGGACCCCAGTCGCCGGGAGCCCTCAGGGGCCAGGAGGCACCTGCAACGCAGTCATCCGAAGCAGAGTACCAATTTATCTATTAGTCCCTTTCGCCAGACAATCTTGACCTGTTGAGATTTCGCCGCGTGCGCCGGTCGCCCTGGTCCTCAGGGCCCTGCCTCGGGAGCTCTCCAACGTTAAGGCAGGCCCCAAAGATCATGTAAATTTTCAAAACTGAAGAGCAAGCAGGACTGACTATCCGTTACTTGTAGTAAGATTCTTAGTTCCAATTGAAATCTCAGCTAGGAGCCGGCATCAGAGCCACAGCCTGCGCAGATGGCAAAATCAAGGATGTGTAGCATGATTTGGGACTTGAGGTCGGCCTCGCGCTTTGTCCAGTCTGTACCGTTTCCTTAGCTGCTGCATCGTGTCCGCATCATGTCACATTATGCTTCCCGAACAGTTACGCTGCACGACATCTGCCTGAAGCTCCAGTGGTCAGCCACATTCATTCTCACACCTGAGATGGCGAGTGTAGTGAGCACAAGCAACTGCAAGTGTTTAGTGTTCGTACTTGTAAGGCTCGACAAATCCCTTTATGGGTCTCATAAAAATTGGAAGTTGCCTATGTAAAAAGAGGCTTCGGCCTTGGCCGCTGCCGGTGCAGCTGCGGGTACGGCTGCAGCACGGCACTGCGTTGCGCGGCGCATCCCAGCAGCACAGGTTTGTGGCGAGAGAGAATGCGCGAGACAAGTGAGGAAGAAGCTGAGCTCTCTCCTCATGCTTTTGTGAAATTGGCGGCTGGCAAGCAATGTGGGAGGTGCTCGGCGTGGTCAAAACTTGCAGAACCCGTTCCTCTCTGGTGGCAAAACAGTTTGCCGTGCTACGACGGCCGCGCCCGTGGACACCTGGCACTGCAACGGCTATTGAAGGAACTTGATTTTGTCGCACTTGTTGCTTCACGGGAGGTGTATCCTTGTGAACATTGCAGCTCAGCACCGTACCGAGAAATGTCCAGCCCGCCAACACCAAGCGCAAGGGATCCTTGACCATCGCGCCCCTCAATCATCAGCAATCAGCCCGAGAAATCAATCGGGAACCGTACGTACGCCCGTGCCACCAGAGCATACATGCTGGCCCAGGAGCATGTGGAGCAACATGCCACCAGAGTACCTATGCCATTCGTGGTTTCCGATTTGTCCGTTGTCCCTCTTCAAGAGCGCGGCAGCATATTTGTGGCACAAGTTCTCATAAACCTCACACACTGCACCAAAACAGCATATAGCCTCAGCTGATCTGTGTCGAGCTGTGGCAAGGAGATCCTTCCCATCCCGGCTAAAGGCTTCGGCGCCATCGCAACAAGGGACATTGCCAGGCCCTGGGAAGAACTGGTCTTAATGCGCAGACGAAGGTGTGACACCGGTGAGTCTTAGGGGCTAAGCTGTCGCCCGTGTTTTCAGGGGCGAGCTGGTGCTAGAGGAGCGTCCGTGGCTGAGCTGGGTGTTGGTTTGGGAAACCCACAAAATCACCACGGCCTTGGGGCGCCCCAAGGCCTCCTCATCAGGTGTCAGTTCAGACTGGACTGAAGTGCGGTGTGATTTGTGGTAGGAGGAGGAGTAGGAGGAGCAGCATAGCTAATCTTCAATCTGGCCAAGTCCTGACGTGATGATGGCGGTAGATTATGCGCCGGCAGCTAGGTGAAAAAAAACCCCACTTCGTCGGACCGAGGACGATCACATACCAGGCCGGCAGTGATTGGCCGACTTCTTTGCAGCAGCAGTTTGTGGCTTGGCCAGAGTACAGATGTATCATGAAACGGTAGGCGCTGCCAGCGGTTGCATGCCATGCCGGGACCAAGATGCTTCAAGGATCGGCTCCCCGTATCATCGCAGACGGCGGTGATGGAGCTCTGTGATGCAACATGGCCTTGAAGCGGCTGCGAACAGCATTCGCCCCCTTTCGTTCCCTTTCAATTGCCCGCAAGTGCAGTTCGGATGCGGAGAGGGCAGCCATGGGAATGCAAAGAGGAGTCGAGAAGCATCAAAGCCTGGTGAGGCTGGTGAGGGCGATGCCAATGCCTGCCAATGTTTGTTGATGCCTTTGGTTTATTTTGGCTTCCATTTTGCTTGGACCCTTCGAGTCGAGTTGCTTCGTCTCTTGCAAAGAAGGCAACTCCGGACGAGAAGGGCTTGAAGGGTGTCTTCGACACAAACAGCGCCTGGGTGTCATGGTGCAAGCCAGCTGGTGCTGAGGACATGCATGTCTCTTGCGTACCATGTGTGGCCCAAACCGACTGAAACGGCTTGCAGAAGAGGAAGAATGATACACCATGATCGACTGAACATCACGCACTCCCCGCGCTGCTACACCCTTCGACCCAGCTCCGAGACTGTTAGGCATTGGCTGTTCCAGCCCCACGCTGGCTCCCTGGCATGTCGTTGGCAGGAGGGTTCTTGCGAGCTCGGCCGACGAGCTGTGTTGGGGCATTGCGATGAGGCATTACCCATTCCATCTGAGGTGTTGTAAAGCGGAATTACCCCTAAACGTTGCTCAACATTCAGGCTGATTGTGCCTCGTGTCGATGGCTGTTCTACACAGACTGGATAGACTCTGCACATTGAACACATAGACTTGGACATCAACTCTTTTCCGCTTTGAAAGTCCCGGTCCTTTTGGCTTTCGGAGATGCTTCAAATTTTGCTCACAGCTAAACAGACGCACTGGAGACTCTGAGGATGGCGTTCTCTGCCTTTCGGTGAGCCGGATCAACCACTCCTGCTTGCCAAACTGCTTCTTGAAGTTCATTTGGTGTTCAACTTACACTGTGCAGGGTAAGATTGCAGCTGTGAGTCTTAATTTGAGGGTCGAATATGCGAAAAAGGCAAAGAGCCCGGTTCAATGAGCTTCTCTTGACAGAGCACTGACAAGAGAGCGAGCGAGAGATCGAGAGAGACAGGCAGGCAGGCAAGCAGGTAGGCGGGACAGGCAGGAAGGCAGGAAGGCGGGAAGGCAGGAAGGCAGGCAGGCGGGAAGGCCGGAAGGTAGGAAGGCAGGAAGGAAGGAAGGTATGAAGGAAGAGGGAGAGTGAGGTTCTCACCACCATCAACTCCAGTGATAAGTTTCACACAGACTTTCCACAAGCACGGGCGCGCCCAGAGCGCTGGGAGAGGGGGAGAGGGAGGGGGAAGGGGGGAGGGAGAGGCGCAACAGGCGTGCCTTGCTTCGGCCTGTGCTGTCAATCGGCGTGGCTGAGTTTGCCGGCTGAGGTGAGCAGTTCTGGGACGAGCAGATGTTCCGCGAGAAGATCTTCGCATGTAAGGACAACCTCTTGGTGGATTAGTGTCGGGCACGCGTTCAAGTCAGAGCTGCTGAGAGATGCCGAGACAGTATTTTCCAAGCCCCCTGCTTTCTGTTTGAGTCCGCGCGCTGAGCTTCAGGATGTTGAGGTTCAGCGCACAGGCATCGGGCAAGGGCCTCCGACCCTCAAAACTCGGCGCTTTAGCGCACTGAAGGCTTGAAGGCCTTAAACCGTAAACCAAGAGCCTCGCCCGTGTAGGTTACCGCCAACGCTGCTTGGTCCAACCGCGTAAAGAGAACAAGTTACCACAAGCAGAATGCCTGGTCATGTGCAAATGTGTCGGCGGGGATCGTGTCATAGAGCCGCGAATGCCGAGTGCTGAGAGTCGGGTCTGTCCGCATTGGCTAGCGGATCCGAACGAAGAATGCCTGGCAAGCCAAACCTTGACTAACAACTTGCGCGTGTTGGGCACCATCGAGTGTCTGAGCAAGGCTGAGAGCGTACGGCATCAGACAGCAATTTTGTGTGTCAAGGGCTGCTGACGCCATGTTCTAATTACATGATTAGAAGATGAAGGATTTTCAAGGTGCGACTGCACCTGGCACACGCAGAGCATGGGCGGACGCAACAAGCGGGTTTCGGGTTTCGGGGTTGTGGCGTGGTCACAGTTGAAATCGACACAACCACCCTCCACACCAGGCGGGGGGGGGGGGGCGGTTTGGCACTTTTCGTGGGAAGTGGAGTTCGTTGTCGTAGTTCTGCGGAGAGATGCCAGTGCGAGAATCGAACTGTCCGAAAACGTCAGGATAGTTTCCACATCGCGAAGCTTCAGTGTGGGGTTGGTCGGAGTGAGTAGTTTTCCCTGTCGTGGTTGCAGCACCCCGAGTTGAACTAGTTCGCTCCCCTTGCAACTTCCGGAGTGGGAGCTCCAAATAGGTGGGCGCAAACATGTGCAGACTCTGCTGTTTACCTGAGTTTCAAAAGCGTTTCACCAGCCGGGGAACTTTGCCAGTTTGTACTGGCTCCTGCCACTGGTAACCTTCCCGCGCGATTTACCTTTTAGTTGGTAGGTAGACTTGGGCTATGCGGTGCCTCTCATGGGGGTTAGCGAGGCAAAGGGCATGAACCGGAGCCAGCGTGGGAGAATTCCTGAATGTGCAGGGCTCAGTGCATATAGCCACCCCCTGCTCTTGGAAGAAATGGTGACAACAAGACACGGAAGTCATCCTGGGCCACGCGCGCCCTCATCTGCTAGTAAGGGGTGTAGGTACAGGAAAGCCCCACGTTTCCCGCAATCTTTTGTGTTGTGGCTTCGGGGGGGTTGAATGCGAAGGCGACTCAGAATCTCTGCTGGAATGTCCCAAACATTCCAAGGCCTAATTCTTGCAATCTACAGCAGGGATTCTCTGGGCGGCCACATCTACCTGTCTGTTGCTTCTTGTTCTTCTTGGTCCGAATGCACTGCGCATGTTGTGATTCGTAGGTCGTAGGCAGGCATGAGAGAGATGTTGCAGCCGTGCAGCCTGTAGAGAACATCTGCATGAGTGTTACTGTAGCTTTCCTTTGCAGATCTAGGGTCGTCGAATCGGAAAGTTGTCCATGCCAGCTGGAGTCGTGAAGACCCTGACAGGACATCCAGAAAGGTGAGGAGCATCTTGGCTCCACTAGCTCAGATTAGGGTCCAAGGATTTTGCACCTTCAGTCCCTTTAACAAAGTTCCATGGCGTGTCTCAAGGTGCTCCCAAAAAATCGTCCCCCATCAAGCTGCAAGAGGTTGTCTATCTCCTATGTGGAGCCGTACCTCCTGGCGGAGCCTTTGCTCTTGTCTGGGAAGATTTTGCTTGAGCCGTAGCTCGGATGTCCTCACCAGAGCCGTGAGCTTCCGGGCGCTTGGGAGACCTCACGAGACCTCATTGCGCCTCCCTGGGAAGTTGAAGCCGCAGAGACTACCAGTACGACTTCCAGTTGACATGGCCAAACTGAGGAGGAGAGAAATGATGTCTTTCGCCGGAGCGACTGCGGCAGCAGAAGACTTCCTTCAGCCACTTAGTGTCCAGCTCCTACCCGTAACACTAGCTTTGACAGACCACCAGCTCAGGATATGCATTCCAGTGCAACTGTGCGGCGTGTTCCTCTCAGAGTAGGGAGGCAGCCGCCGCTGGCTATGACATTAACAAGTGCCATGACACTTTGATTTGCGCAAGTGTCCAAGATCTGAAGGGCGTTTTCTGTCTGCAGCTTGCGCCAGGGCACTTGGGTTGAAAGAAGGGTATAGGCAACGGGCAAGCCATGTACAGGCGAGCGACCGCCGAAGAAGACGACTGGGCGAGGCATGACGATACACCGTTGATCTCACTCGTAACAACTATAACCCGCAGCATGTACACAGCCAAATCAGAGCAGAAACCTCGGCAATGGTGCAAGACAATTTTTATAATTTTCTAGACAACTTCGAAGCTGCCAGATGCTTGCGGAGCTTGGCCGAGGTCCATGGCTCAGAGCACACACCGCCCCGAAGACTTAATTGCATTGATTTTGGGGCAATACGGATTTTCCCTCATGAGCCATATGTCCAACATGTATCGGGGTTCAGAGCCCTTTGAAGGCACGAGGAATTTGCTTCGGGGTACATACATCGCGGCACAGCGAGCAGCATGGGTCATAGCCTGTCTACGTCTCAGTCCCTTTGGCAGAGTTGGAGCAACTCCCAGGTGTCAGTCCAGATGCAGATGCGGGGGTGGCGCTTGCAAAGGCCTGGCATTGGTCCTTCTAAGGGCACCTTTGTCTCTGCATGATGTTACTTTTTTGAGTCTGCTGCCTGCAAACGTCACCATGAACCTTTATTCACGTTTTCCTTTGCAGCGTCGTAAAGGGCCTCAAGGCAGACCAGTTGCACAAAGCTGGTCAGCAAAGTGCCATGCAGCGGCCTCGAGGCGATCTCTTGGCTGTAAATGCGCTGTGGATGGTGGGTCACGTCCAGACTGTCCTGGCCTGTGAGATTCGACTGCAGAGCTTGAGCACTGAGGATTGCTTCATGGCCCCACACCACGAGGTGCACCCGGATGTCTTCAGAGTCTTCAACGACCTCACCATGGGGTCGCTACACAGCCAAGGCCCGCTGGTGACTTTTCGGACCGATGAGCGGCCCGGGGCGCGCGAAGCAGAGAACCTGCAACGTGCCCGGTCCGTGCAGCTGGCGAATTTGGACCGCATCGATTCCATCGATTCCATAGGTCTGCCAATTCCGCAAGTTCCTGATCTATTTGGCTTGTGGGGTCACTGCTTACAGTGTCCGATTGCTAAGTCTGCCGCCCTGGAGTGGTGCGTGCTGCTAGAAAGCAGGAACAAGGCGGAAATGCTGGCATGCCAAGCGCAGCTGCGTGGGGTCTTCAGTCAGGCGACTGCCGAAGAGGATGGAAGCCGCCTTTGCAGCATCCTGCTGTGCTGCATTGCTGGTCTTCTTGTTCTTTCCGAGGTTTCTGAGACTAGGTTGCAACCGCAGAGCTCCCAATGCACCCAAGGCAGGGACCGGTATGACCAGTATCTTGACGTCGGTGACTTTTCAAGTTGCTCCGCAGAGTTGCTGCGCATCGCTAACGACTGCTGGGGAATGCTGGATCTGCAGCATAAGGGCACTCGGCAATCTCTCCTGGCGACCAAGCCCTTATGCCAAGAGGTCATCAAGGGCACCGGCGAAGGCGGCGAAGGCGGCGAGGAGTGGCAAAAGTTTGCGGACTACGTGGAGTCCTGTTTCTCTCAGAAGCTGGGGAGGCCACCGGGCAGCAGCAAGTATCCTCAGCCAGGCGTGCGAAGGCGCGAGCGTAGGCGATGCGAGGTTGCTGGCTGCAAGTCTGTAGCGGCCCGAATGGTGTTGAGGGACGATGCCCACGGGCCTGCTGGCTTCCGCTGTGACCGCCACGGAGGTCGTCTGGCGTGCACACTGCCGGGGTGCAAGCGGCCCTCCAATGGCATAGTTCGCGTGGATGATGAGTTCGGACCAGCTGGGCACCGCTGCATTGCACACGGTGCCCGGCGCTGCACTGTGAGTGGCTGCCATCGCCCTGCCAAATGCAACGCGCCGGCCGACAACCTGGCGCCTGCAGGCCGCCGATGCGCTCAGCACAGCCCACTGTGGCCAAAAGCCTCTCAGAGTGGAAAGAGATGGAAAGAGCCAGGATTGAGTGACTAAGTTGTGTAGGTGATTTTTGTGCATGTTGGAGACATGTGCATCCAGAAGCAAAAAGCTCAGGTCTGCAGCGTTTCGGGGTGCCGCATGTGGCCGGCAGGCAGAGTCAAAGTTGCCGATGCGCTGGGCCCTCCGGGGCCTCGCTGTCCAACACACCGGGGTGGTTGCAGTGCGGATGGATGTTTGCGGATTCCCTGGGGGTCTGTGCCTGGCTCTGGTTTCGGCAGAGTTTGCACATGGTTTCCTTGCATTCTTGTGAAGATAGATGACATCGTTTGGTCATTTCTGGACCGAACGAATCTAGATGAATCTACTGAGTCTAACATGAGCCATCCAATTTGGTCAGGTGGCCACCCGGGATCAGCATGGTCCTGCAGGCAGACGGTGCTTTCGTCATGGCGGTCACGTCTGCAACGTGGGAGGGTGCGGCCAGGAACCTCGTCGACACCTGCGGGCATCGGATGAGCACGGCGCAGCAGGATATCGGTGCACCAGGCACTCTCGGTCCTCAAAGCTAAAGCCAAAGCCAAGGCCGAAGCAGACAGTGCTGGCCCTTGGCTGCTGCTCCCGCGCGGATGGAAAGGGGTGGCAATGCAAGCGCCCAGTGGAAGACGGGCGCCCTTTCTGTGGCATTCATATGGCGTGGAGGAAGCATGAGAGAGCAAACCGCAAGAAGCAGGAGGGCCATCCCACACAACGGTGCAAAGCATCTGTGCACCCCACAAAGCGGGCCAAGGCCCTCCAGCCCTCCAGCGACTTGGCACAGAATGCCGCATGAAGAAAAGCAAACCAGAAAGCGCTTTGTAGTTGTGGATCCTTGTGGTGTTTACCTTACCTTCGCTACCCACATCCCCCTCCTCCCACTCTGCTTTTTCCGGAAGTTGAGAAGCTTCGGCACAGGCTATCAGAGCTGGGGAACTAGACGACGCCTTTGAAGCCAAGACATTTGAGTGCGGTTCAATGTGACATTTGAGGCAGTCGTCTCGTCGATCTTGACTGTAGAGTTGGTAAGAAATTTTCGTACAGAGCTTGGGAATTGAAACGGCTCGAACTCGAACCAACAAACCTGTTGCCATGTAGCATCCAAGTTACTGCACCTCAACTGTCCCAAATGACACATCTGCACGGTATCTGCACCAAGTAAGAATCGAATGCAGTTCGTAGTCTTGTGTGATGGAAGGAGCTTCTTCAGCTTTGCGACGAGGAGGGTCTAGCTCTGAAGCTTGGCACCGTCTTGGCCACGCTACCTGTATATACATGGGAGATTGCTCTAGCAGACTTTGTGCGCCGCTTAATGGCCAGATGCAAGACCACGGCCAACACAGTCGGGGGTGGGTTGTTTACGGTATCATGCCGACATGTTACTGTTCGGAATTGATCACTTTACTTTGGGTCGGCGGACCCGACTTCTGACCCCCATAACGCGAGTCTTGGCACCTCAACATAACGTGCAAAGTCACATGGCAGGGAGACCCAGAAGATTGTCGACTTGACTGGCCTGAATACATAGTTGTGGTAAACGCAAACACCAAATCTACCAACAAGTATCCAACAACTCAGATCACTGCGAAGACACAAGGTTTCAAAACACACCTTTTGCCAGCAACATTCTCCGGTGCCTTGATGCAAGTGACTGAAAAATGCACGTGTCTTGTAACTGCATGCAGAGTAGGTTTCCGAATGGTTCACAAACAAGTCAGCAAACACTTTCGGCAGACATTGGCCAGAGCTGACGTGAGCTGATCTGAGGCAAGGCTTTCGTGCACAGGCCCGGCATCGAAGGGGAAGCCATGACATGGCGTGACATGTCACGTTACCCTGCCAGGCTGAGGCTCTCATCCCTATTTTAAATCCCTTTTTTGAAACTTTGGGGGTGTCGGATCAAGCCACACAGCCCATAGAAAAGCCTTGGATGGTGCTCTTAGCCGGATTACAGCTGCGGTCCGGAATCGAAACCCTAGTTGCCAAGTCTGACTCGCAGCGCACCATGATTAATGAAGCTGACCTGGGTGCTTTCCATTGTCAACAGTGCTATGTGACATCACTGGGCGTGGCCATGCCGTGTTTTAATCATGCTGCTGCTCTTGGCATTGATGTACAAAGGCGGTTGTTGAAGATGCGCCTCAATCCGTCACACCATGTCAGGCGCCCTTCAAAAAAACCAGTGTTGTTTTGGAAGAGGCTTGCTACCACGCATTCCAATGCCTGCTCCTGGCTGGCCGCGGGCAGGATGAGGCAGAGCAAAGTTGGGCTAGAGTCTGGGCGCGGCAGGTCGTAGAGTCGGATCCTAGCACCGCCCCATATATTGCAGCCAAGCTCTCTACGAGTTCCGCTACAAAACGCTTAACACTCCCTTTGCGAGCTTCAGGAAGAGAAGGGGGCCGAACAAAAACGCGCTGACAAAGCGGAAAAGTCTTTGGGAGAGTTGGTATTGTAGCTGTGAGATTAACATCGTATCGTCTCACGGAGATCACCCCGAGTTCGGGCTTGAGTTTTTGGGGTCGCTTTCTCCAGGCAGCACCCTGGCTGCGGCGCGCACGCGAGTCCCTGGAGGCCCCTGAAGCCGGTAGGCTCAGGTAGGCTCCAATTTTTGTGCCCTAAAGGGCCACTCTCACTCAAAATTTAACTGCTCTCAACCGCGGAAGCACATGCGAGCTCGAGTTGCCCTTGGAGGCGACTCGTGGCGCCGGGGATCCCGACGTCGAAGCACTGCGAGGTGGGGTCGTGGATGGCTTGGACAGGTTTGCGCAAGTTTGCTCACGGGACTTTTCTGAGACGGGTGGACTAGGGAGGATGCTTGGGGCTTCCTTGCGAGCTTCGGACATCTTGGGCAGAGCAGCCTTGCGTTGGAAGATCATCGTGCAGGATCTGGGTCCTGTTACTCGTAGCATTTCTCAAAGGGGTTTAAACCCCCAGGAGTATCAACAAATCTTAGCTGTAACCATCTTCGGCTCACCTGGCAGGCTACGAGGCAGACCCTTTGAGCCACCCTGCGGCGTCGGACCAAGCCACACAGCCCCTGGGAAAGTCTTGGATGGGGCTGCAGCTGTTTGTAGACATCGTGGGTATGAATGGCATGTCGTTGGGGATGTGAGATCAATGATGGTGAGGCACGTCTGCCATGTGAGAGCCGCAGTGGAGCCAAATCAAGATGACCTGCGTCGGGGATTGTAAGATGCGAGGAAGCAGTGGAAGCCCCTACTCGTACCCTCGACGTGCAAGCCCCAGGCTTTCGGGGCTGGCAGGGCCAGCGCTTGCTGCTGCGGCCGCGGCTGCCGCGCTGTATTTTTTCCGGTGAGTGACAAGCTCATGTGCTGCTCTGGACTCGACCCGGCCTTTGAATGATGCATCACAAACGGTGATTCGTGCCTGGCTATGAGCTTGCTTGTTCCTTAGAGGGCACACTCTGAAAGGAATTCTAGCAAATTCAGGGTACGGTCTAGCACTGCTCCGTGGATCACCACTGGCGTTTCCTTGGATGGGTGATACTTCGCTGCTCTGTCTCATTCAGAAGCCCCAAATCAGCTCAAGAATCTTGACTCAAGAATGGAAAGAGAATGCCAGCATTCAAGAGTAGAACCGACTAGAAACACTAGAAATGATTATTCTGGCTCACGCTTGTGGTCGCAGGGTCGAGTCCTCATTGCAGGAGCTGGTCCGAGGCAGGGACGGCGGAGGGCCAATGTACGGGAGTCCTTCTCTTGGCCTTGTGTTCAGTTCTGGGTCATCTGGTTCAGGAAGTAGCAAGAGGCCATCAGGTCAATCGGGGCACGAGGCAGGGTATGTTTTGGAGCCTCTTGCCAGGACTTCTCCCAGGCAGCTTGCCTGGCCTGCCTGGCTTGCCCGGTCAGAAGGGGGTGTGCCGCCCTCAAAGTCGTCAACCTTGCATTGGGAGCTTGAGGCTCCCAGCTCGCCTGGAGCATGTCGCCGCGCTAAACAGGACCAAACAACTCGTCAGGAGCAGTTCGCTAATGCATAGGTTGGAAAAGGGCATCATGCTTGGGGAGGCCTGTGGATCCTGGTGCTGATTGCCAGGAGGCCGCGGCAACTGCTTGCAAGGGCTTCCATGCCATCTGTTGCGGTTAAAAGTGGAGAAGTAGAAAGGCAATAAAGGCACATGTCCACGCTTTCTGCGCATTCAAAAGCCCAGAAGTCAAGGTGCCAAGCACACATGCCAGGAAAACTTCACATCAGGAAGTTTGGCACGTCAGCGTTAAACTCATGCCCACCTTCGTTTCACGCCGGCCTCTGCTGCAGCTGAAGTGGCTCTGGTTGGTTAGTTATAGGGCAGTGGCTGGGCTGCTAGTGGCCCTCCAACCATGGTGCAGCCCGTCTGAAGTTCAGCGCCGGGAGCGAACTTCTGCCGTTCATATCACATGCCAGCGTCTGTTCAATGTTAGCATCAGCAGGCTTCGCAGGATTCCACCCAACATCAGCAAACTCGTGCTGTTACCCTAGTACAGGGCACTGCTAGCGGTTGCAGAGTGGTGCAATGAAGAAACTTCAGGTTGACCTTTTGCACACCGGCCTTGTATACAAGTCCGGGTGCAGATCTTGGGAGCGCAGCGTAGCTACCCAGGAACATTCCGAAGACGAGGAACACGCTCCTTGGACCAAGTTCTGTTGCACACGCTGTGCGTGCGTGTTCGTGGACCTTTGCGTTGGGAGGGTCAGGCATGTAGATTTCGAGAGTTTGACGGATGATCCGAAAGTGTTCAGCTCAGCTGTGCTCATCCAAGGTACTGTCGCAAGTGCAAGAAGCACACGCCCCACAAGGCATTGATTCCTTTGCAGTTTTTTCCAATGCAGAAACTTAGAAAAGCAGCAGCAACAACACCCACCACTTCTTGACCATGAGCGCTTGTTCACCTATGGCATCTCACAATGTCCAGGATGCAAGTAAGGCTTGAGCAGAGGCTACCCAGTCAAACAGCGTGTCGTGCACACACAAGCAACGACAAAAACGTTCCATATCCCCAGCCGAGCCTACACATGGAAGACCTGTGAACATGGAAGACGTGTGAAGTGTTTTTTCCTGCTTCCTCTCGTTTGCTCACCAATTTGCTCACCAAGCCGGCGGATTCTGGGTTTAACCCTGTAGAAATGGGTGCTAGCCCCCCCCCATGGACCTACCAATTTCCTTTGTTTTTATCCATGAATTTCGCGGTCTAAGCCACATGGTTTGAAAACCATGGGTTTTATGGATAACATTTGTTTTGCCGATGTTTTCGGGCTCCATCCTTCAAAAACATTGGTAAAACCAATTATCCGTGAATTGGGTGCTCCCAGCCACATGGTTTGAAAACCATGGGTTTTATGGATAACATTGGTTTTGCCGATGTTTTCGGGCTCCATCCTTCAAAAACATGGGTAAAACCAATGTTTTCCATGATTTTCGTGATCTGAGGCTCTCTCCCAGCCACCATTTCTCGAGGTAGTACCAAGCAACAAACTCGAATCCTGCAAAATCTCGAGGGAGTACCAAAACCTCCTTATAATCAATCACGCCCCAATACGCAAGACATGACATCTGTCCTAAAAACACTACCTTAGCTACGATATCTCAAATAGTCATCCCCCGATAAGCAAGACCTAATATCTATACTAAACCTGTACCTTAGCAACATATCTTAAGACATCACGCCCTAAGGCTCCGACCAATTTAATAAGGTTCCTATCAATTTCAACAGGATTCGTATGCATGTTACTGGGATTCGCATAGGATTCTCATTAATTTTAAAGGATTCCTATTGGATTAGGCTCATACTAGTTTAGTAGGATTCCTATCAGTTCTTGTTAAGGGATTCTATTGTTTTTAAGGCCTATTGGTTCCTATTGATTTAGAAAGATTCCTTCTCGTTTTAATAGGATTCCTGTGACTTGTAACCCGGGTTGTTTCCAACTTGTTAAGGTTCCTATTCATTTTAATAGGCTTCCTATTAACTGTTGTCCGGTCCCGATAATTCAATAGAGGATTCCTATTTACTTTCATAGGATCCCAATAAAGTTTCATAGGGTTCCTAATTATTAATAAGGCCCCTATTTTCTGTAATAAGAGTCCTATCAATTTTAATCAGATTCTTATTCATGTTAATGGGGTTCGTGTTAATATTAAAGGGATCTCATTCACTTTCAAGGGATTCCTGTTGGTTTAGGCTCATGTTCATTTTAATCGGTTTGTCTAAAGGTTCACGTTATTTCTTATAGGAGTCCGATTGGTTCCTATTAATTTGAGTAGGGTTCCTCTTCAGTTTAATAGGATTCCTACTAATCCTATTAATTCTACGAAAATGTTGGGAGAGTACCAAAACCTCCTTACAATCAATCACGCCCCAATACGCAAGACATGACATCTGTCCTAAAAACACTACCTTAGCTACGATATCTCAAACAGTCATCCCCCGATAAGCAAGACCTAATATCTATACTAAACCTGTACCTTAGCAACATATCTTAAGACATCACGCCCTAAGGCTCCTACCAATTTAATAAGGTTCCTATCAATTTCAACAGGATTCTTATGCATGTTACTGGGATTCGCATAGGATTCTCATTAATTTTAAAGGATTCCTATTGGATTAGGCTCATACTAGTTTAGTAGGATTCTGCAGCAGAGTGCCACAAGTAGCGAGGTTTGGGCTCAAGCACAACCACCGAAGAGCTCACCGCTCTGACCTTTTCCAAGTGCACAACGCACTCGTAGCAATGGCGTCAAGCGCTGGATTTCCCCATGTACAAGGGGCCCCTTGCATGAGCCTATCACACAGCAGCGCGGCCAACAGTGAATGATCAGACATGGTGCTGCTGATACAGGCCTTACATGTTGCACCACCCCCAAAAAGGGTCAGCAGCACATTCGCTCATGAAGGAATCAGGGGCCTCCAGAAACTTTTGTACAGTGCCGACAGCTGTACGACCGGCTTTCTTCCCCTTCTTCGCGGACGTGAAGGAAGGGTCATACTTTATACACCAGAAGCCTGTCCTGAGGAATTTCAGGAGTCCTTCTCTGCAATCTTGTCGCTTCTTCGTCAAGGCGTCGGCAAGATCGAAGTCGCTGGCCAACCATCTTAACTCACAGGCTGCCCTCTGAAGGTTACCACGAAGTTGGAAGGCCTGCAGGGCCGCCCTCATGTTCGATAGCCCAAGCAATGGTGACTCATTGACTTCCACCGCATCATAGCCGCCCTTGCTGTCCGTGCACAGAATGCCCTTGATGTCGCGGATCTGGTTCTCCACGATGTCCACCATGTCCACGCGAAGGGAACGCTCTCGTTCAGATCCTGCTGCTCCATGAAGCTCAGACCAAAGAAGACGTGCCCGGAAGTTATGATCCTCTGCCTCCAAGATGGACTGGACCTCTGCATCGTTGCTCCCAATCGCCTTCCTTTTCAACTTCCAGGTGCGCCATCCAATCACAGACATCGGGCATACTGCACCACTCGTGCTCTCTGGGCCGGCAATCAAGGTGATTAGACCTCCAGTGCTATCCCCTTTTGGTCTATTTGCGTGAGCTTGATCTCCCATGCTGATAAAGACCATGTCCCGCCAATGCTTCACCTTCTCGAACTTCTGAAAGACCAGCTTAAAGGGTTCTCTTCTCACTTCACTGACCAGTTGTTGGATTTCACGCGCGGTCTCCATGTTTCCACTGGTCACCAGATCCGTGAGCAGAAGGTTGCAGCGAGCACAAATCTGGGGCTGCGTTTGGATTGCCACCCATTGGAGTGCACCCAGGGCCGTTCGACAGGCATCAACATCGTGCTTGTTCATGGCCACATTGGTGCCCAACCGGCTCGGATCTATGTCCACATCCATGATCGATTCGATGTAGTAGCTCTGGTCGATGATGATTTTGTCGTAGCCGCGGTCGTCCTTCACCGTCGACACATCAGTGCCAGCATGCCGGTATGAGCCACTCTTTGCCATCCCCCACTTATACGCGCCGTTGATTTTCTCCTTGATGATCTTCCACTCATCGGAATCGTCGCCAATCCTGTGGAAGTCGTCAACATGACCACCCATGGCGCCAATCACTTGTGCATGATGACCATCACGGCGTTCAGCTGACAGCCATATCCACAGACATCTTTCGCCGAGCACTGGCTGTGCTCCCAATTCCACAAGTCTTTTGTGTAGCGACAACCAAAGGCCACGAGGGGCGGTCGTGCTGCCATAGATGTTCCGGAGGATGCGCATCACGTCGTTGTCATCGATGCCCAAGGCGTCACGTAATTCCTTGACTCCCGTTGTCCACAGCTCTTGATCGGCCTCCGTTGGCTGCGTCTGAAGAAACGCTGTGGCTAGGTCTAGACCCTCCAGTCTCCACTGCGAATCTGCTGCCATGGCATAGAGGAGGTTCCGACCCAACATCGACTGCACGGGGCTCGCTGTTTTGAAGGTGGGATCAAGAAGGCTTGGGTGCTGAAAGCCCAGAAGCACGATCCGTGCCTTTGCCTTCTTCGTGCCATCCGACACATGCACCGTGTTCGGGTTGTTCTTGTGGTCGGCTACTGCTTCCGATTGTTCTTCAGGAGGCACCAGTTTCCAGGTCAACACCCACCTTGCCTTCACGATGCGGTTGCTGTCGAATGCACGTCGGGTTTCTTCATCATCCAAACACTTCCTCACGGCCTCGTTCTTGATGAAAGAATCCACCTCCTTCAGCTTGGCGCGATGAAATAGTTGTCGCTCCCTTTCGGAAAGTCGCGACAAAACCACCTCCGAGTCCTTCATCTTCTTCACCAAATACAGCATGGGATTTCGAAGCATCGCTTTCTTCTGCCGAATGGATCGTGGCTCTTCCAGGTCAAATTCGATCTTCATGAACTCTGCCGTTTCCTGGAATGCGGTGAAGAGATCCTTGTAATCCTTTTCTTCTGCCTCCGCTTCAACATACATGTCCTCCACCCAGTTGGCAGTCTTGGGTCGCTTGGCCTCAGGACTCTCGTAGTCGTTGACCTCCGAAGGAGCCACACGAACAGGTGAGGTAGAAGCCGTGGATGTCGACTGTGCTGGTAGCTGACCTGTTTCTTCGAACA